ACCTGTGGAATTTGTCCATAATTCGAGATTCCATAGCACTTTCTGTAGATAGGTCTAAAGGGTTTTATCATTTATCCCCTTAACAAAATTGATTAAGTCATCTGCAAAAAGTCTAGCTTTTACTTGTAAGTCACAAGTGAGGTAATATTATTTATTGCAATAAGAAATAGGGAGCAGCTTAAATTAGATCCTTGGGAAGAAGTGTATTATATTTCTTGAATCGATTTAATGTTGTTTTTGAAAGTTTAATAGCTTCTTGACATTCAGAATTCCACCAAGGAACTGACGAATTTAATTCTTTCGAATTCATTTTACCAACGGCTTTATCGGCGGCATTTAATAATACATTGGAAAACTCTTGAATTTGACTATCAATATTATTATTTGATTGTAAAATTTTATGTAAAGCATTTATTTCATTTGAAACTAGATTATAATACTCTTGCCAATTTGCATTTTTGATATTCCATTTTTCAACATTACAAGAGTTTAGCATTTGTTATTACAATCACAAAGTAATCACTATCATTTAAATCAGAAAGTACATCTCAAGATAAGATAGCTGATAATGCTGAATCAGATATTTAAAGGTCTATGTCAGAGGATTTACCAGAAAAAATGTATTTTTAAAATGAATATTTTTTCCATCGTTTAGTAGGTTTAACTGAAAATTGTCCAACATTATTTCAATTCTACGACCTAATGGAGTAGTTTTTTTTGATCCCCATATGTAATTATGTGCATTAAAATCTCCAACTATTAGACGAGGTGAAGGCATTTGTTTTATTGAAATCTGAGATTTCATTATTGCTTGAGTTTTGTATAGGATGGAATGTATACAGGGTGAGTCATGAGGAACTTTACATACTTCTACCATATGTAGAGTCCCTCAGGGAGTATATCATGTGGCCACCAAAAAAATGTCAACTCCTCTTCTTTATTAATTAACAGGGTGATTTGTGTAATTAACCATTTATTTCATTTTACTGTAGTGTTTATACGGCTCATTTGATTATTTTAATTTTTGCATGATACAGTACACTACTATCAATCGTTCGACTGGTATTAGCTAAACTAAAAAATTCCAGGACTGGCTTTGAAAAAATTAATTTAGGGATTCCTATTAAATATTATACCCTGTATATATATTTTTTTAAATGCAATAAGTGATTTTTAAACTACAGAAATTGCCAATGAAAACGACATATGCGACAATGTTGTCTCACTTTTATTAAATTTTTAGTGAACGATCAAATCTTACCAAAAATAGAACAACCATAATGAAGTATCAAATTATAAGGTATTAATTTAAACAAATGTTATAAATTTCATACATTTTAATTAAAATGAGTTCCTACCACATAATCTAATACGTAGAAAATTAACATCTTTACTGTCACTTTGTATTATCTCTACGATGGAATCAATTATTTTTCAATTTTAAATTTTTACTCATAGATCGTATTGGGGCATTATTTTCGATAAATAATAAATTAAATTGATTAAAAAGTCAAACCTCTTGTATGTGTTAGTTTTTGTTAATTGTAAATGATTAAAATTTTATGTCAAATAATAACACATTGCATCAACTGTACTAAATAAAAATAAATCTAAAAAAGTTTAAAATGAAGGTTGGAGTTGATCGTTTGACGTTTCTTGATATTTTATGCCTATTGTCATTATTGTCATTATCAATTGTTATTTATGTGTACAAGAATACAAATTTCTTCTGTCATATCTACGTTAAGTACATTGTGTTGGTTTTTGTAGAGCTTTTGTTACTTTCGTTCAAAATGCCACATCAGTTTTCGACCACAAAATATGCAGACATAATATTTGTTTATGGATTCTGTAATGGGAATGGCAGGGCTGCTAGTAGAGAATATCGCAGGAGATTTCCTAATCGTCGAACTCCCAGTCATCCAACATTTGGGTCAGTTTTTAATTATTTGCGAGAAAATGGCACTTTTCATAGTGGCACAACAGGAACAACACTGTTCCTAATGTAGATGAAGCGCAGGAAGATAACATTATGGACGCCGTTACTATGAACGCTACAATAAGCACTAGACAAGTAAGTCGAGAACTCAATGTTACTCAATCAAAAGTAAGTAGAGTCTTACAAAAAATAATCTATACCCATATCACATTCAAATGTTTCAGCGACTACATGCTGGAGATGAGATAGATAGGTTGGAATTTTGTAGATGGATTAACAATAATCGACCAATGCTATACAGGACACTATTTACAGATGAAGCCAAATTTACCAGAGACGGGATAAATAATTTACAAAATTCACATGTGTGGGCAGAAGAAAATCACCATGCGTCGTTCTCAGTTAAGGTTTTCGGTTAACGTGTGGATTGGTGTCGTAAATAACCAATTAGTAGGTACTCACTTTTTTGATGGTCCTTTAATAGGGCAGGTCTATTTGAACTTTCTACAAAATATTTTGCCGAATTTGCTTGCCAACGCGAACGTTGCTATCCGATGGATGTATTTTCAGCATGATGGGGCACCCCCACACTTTTTGCTGGTAGTGAGACAACATCTCAATAATGTTTATGGCAACAGGTGTATAGGACGTGCAGGTCTTATTTCGTGGGCTTCAAGATCCCCTGATTTCAATCCCGTTGATTACTGTGTTTGGGGACGATTGAAGCAACTAGTTTACGCAGTGAATATTAATAACCGACAACAATTAATTGATAGAATTATACATTGTTGTAATACTATTAGAAACGATCCCCAGAGTATCCGTAATTCAATACGTGAATTAACAATTCGGCAACAAAAATGTGTACAGGCTGCACGGTTCCATTTCGAAAATCTATTTTAAATTATTTTTATTTTGTTACCATTATTGTATCCTTTCCAGTTCTAATTTATGGGTTTATAATAACTATGTACATATTTTTTTTTTAAATTGTTCTTCGTTATTGTTAGTAGTTACTGTTTTTTGTTGTGCAGTGACTCAGTTTATAATTTCAATTAAAATGTTTGAAATTTATACAATTTGTTTAAATTAATTACCTTATAATTTGATACTTCTTTATGGTTGTTCTATTTTTGGTAAGATTTGATCGTTCCCTAAAAATTTAATATAAGTGCGACAACATTGTCGCATATGTCGTTTAATTGGCTATTTATGTAGTTTGAAAATCATCAGTAAAATCAGTAAAATGAAATAAATGGTCCATTACACAAATCACCCTGTTAATTAATAAAGAAGAGGAGTTGACATTTTTTAGTGGCCACATGATATGCTCCCTGAGGGACTCTACATATGATAGAGATATGTAAAGTTCCTCATGACTCACCCTGTATATTACGTATGTTCATTCTTAAAGCCCCTTTGATAGTAATTGCGATCGCTTCCAGTTGTGTATTGAGTTAAAGAATGTCTACATCGATGGATGAATGAGTGTAAATTGCTACGCCACCACTAGCATGGTCTACATTTTCTCTATTTTTATATGTGCATGTGAAGTGTTTTAAATTATGAACTTTAGTATTTTTAAAACGAGTTTCCTGTAAACAAATTATGGATGGAGTAAGTTTTTTAATCATTTGTTGAAATATATCAAGGCGAGTGTAATACCCTCGTATGTACCACTGGACAATTGAGAAAGCCATGATAATATATTTTTTCTACTCTCTTACTAGTAAATTGTATATTACCTACTATTTGGATGCTAAGTAAATGCATCATAACAGATACTGACACGTAATGACTAGCACGTAATAAAAAAAATTACGCTTCAGTTTTATAAAAGGGTATAATATCACATAAGCCTCGTAAGTCAGTTGGACGAGTTACCATGGAAACGAATTAACAGACGGTATTTTGACAGATTAAAAATTATTAATCTGTCAGTGTAAATATAGTGGTAATTTATTTTTCTTTTTATAAACGAAAATAATCGTAGAAAAAGTAGAGTACACAACTTGAGTTGTAAGCTTATTACATGATTGTAAAATTACTGCGCTCGCCGCTACGCGGCTCGCGCGCAACTTTTTTACTTGCATCTAATAAGCTTCTTACAACTCTCGTTATGTAATATACTAATTTTCTACTCTCTTACTAGTAAATTGTATATTACCTACTATTTGTATGCTAAGTAAATGCATCATAACAGATAGTGACACGTAATAACTAGCACGTAATAAAAAAAATTACGGTTCAGTTTTATAAAAAATGTGTAATATCACATAAGCCTCGTAAGTCAGTTGGTCGAGTTACCATGGAAACGAATTAACAGACGTTATTTTGACAGATTAAAAATTATTTCTCTGTCAGTGTAAATATAAAGGTAATTTAATTTTTATTTTTATAAACGAAAATATTCGTAGAAAAAGTATAGTACACAACTTGAGTTGTAAGCTTATTACATGCTTGTAAAATTACTGCGCTCGCCGCTACACGGCTCGCGCGCAACTTTTTTACTCGCATGTAATAAGCTTCTTACAACTCTCGTTATGTAATATACTATAATCTTTTACAATTTAATAATCGGATTCGGTGTTAGTTTCTAATTGTATGGATTTAAGTATTTTGTTTTGAAGTCGAGTGCATGTATTTGTTGATTTCCTATTTGATAAATTTTCATGTAGTTGATTTAAAAGTTTCAATAGGTTTTTGTATAAGTTTTTATTAAGCTTATTGGGTCAGGGATACCATTAGCATTTTCCAATACACCTATTAATGTTTCATAATCTATTGAATGGTTTACTGTAGTATTTTTATATATTAGTCCAGTTAAATTTTTTATATCGTCTGTTACTTTGATGATTCCTATATATGTGATTGAAGACTTTGTCCTTTTTAATTTAGGAGCTGGCAAGGGGTTATTTACCCCTTTACACATTCTACTAATACTCCCAAATAATAATAGATGATGAACCCAAATGATACTCCTATATGAAGTATCATTTGGTGGAAGGCTTATAATTTTAGAGCGATCTCATTTGTTTGAGGAAGGATCGTGGGACATTTGTTAAAAATCAGTGCTTTCTCCAACATGAGTAGATGGTAGAATATGTTTATCCGGTTTAGTCGATGGTATAGAAGTAGAGGAAAATATTTTTTGCGTTAGGGGAATGTATTCATTGTCTATTGGATCAGTTGAACAAGTTAGAGCAGCATTTTGTGTTTGAGATGTTTGACTTTGCTTATTAGTTGAGCAATTTTCAGCCAAATGTGCTGCTTGCCTAAAATTAGTATATAGATCCTTCTCTATTACAAGAAATATACGAGATGATGTCATTTTGTAATTCACAATTATTAAGTCGGTTATTAATCAGACTAGGGGAAAAATGCCTTCTTTCCTAGTAGTGGAGAATGAATCTTATTCTACTAGGGTAGAATGAATTGATGACAGGGGAGAATGACTTCGTTTCTCCCCTCCATTAATAAGACTAGTGGAGAAATAAAATATGCCTTCTAAAACTGAAAATATGTTTGTAATTAGGATTTGATGTAACAAAATTTGATTTTTAAAAAATCTATTGGAGTTGCCAAAGTTAATCCAAAATTAGAAAGTGCATTTTCAAAAATTGAATGTAAAATTGAAGGCTAAACGTCTGATATCAATATTCTTTCATTTTGTGAGTAAAATATTATGAGGACATATTGTATTATGGACCAGTCTACAGGACCAGTCCAGTAGAAAGTCTGTATTAGAAACTGATGAACCAACTCTTTCAATTACATGACACAGACTAAGCCTACAATATGCAGCTAAAATAAGCAAACTCTAATAACCTTGCTTACTCCTACATATTTTCTAACAATGTTTATTTAATATTGTTCTGAAGCTATTTTCTTGTGGCATTGTAAATTAATTACTATTTATAACTGGGAATAAGCCACATTAAAGATAAAAATACATTTATTGACGTTTCAATTTCCAATTCGGAAATCGTTCTCAAAATACAAAAAAAAATTTTTTTTTGTATTTTGAGAACGATTTCCGAATTGGAAATTGAAACGTCAATAAATGTATTTTTATCTTTAATGTGGCTTATTCCCAGTTATAAATAGTAATTAATGTTTATTTAATTTTTGAACAAAAGCCCTTTCTTTCTGAATCATTTAGTAAAAGCATCACAGGTTTAAATTTTCCGAAAGTTATTTCCAATAAAATAAACTACCCCTTCTCCTTGGACTATAAAACTCCCCAAATGTAGTACAAATTTTTTACTGTATCCTAAATCTGATAATTTATCACATATAATTCTACAACGGTTTCAAGAGATTAAAGACAAGTACAAAATATATAACCTAATATATACAGATGCGTCAAAAACTTCTGAAATGGAACAGGTACGCGCAGCTTTCGTTGACGAAACAATTAAACATCAATTCCAGCTACCCATTTTCATATATTCCGCCGAATTGAATGCCATATCTAAAGCCCTACAACATATATCAAACCAGCCCAAATTGGAAGCAGTCATTTTCACAGATTCTTAAGCGCAGTACAGGAAATATTAAGGGTTTACCCACACTATCCAATATTATGCAAAATTAAAATTCAAAAGAAAATGTAGAAAGTATTTTTGAAGTGTGTATATTTTAAGCAATTCCTAGCTGAGCGCTTTCGGCTTTAGAAAGCCATCATCAGAGCTATGCTACAATAAAATGTTCTTATAGGTACTAATTGGTGAAGATTATAATTTTTAACTTACGTCAATTTATAAATACCACTACAATGGAGAGATCTCATTTCCTTATATGTCAAAATTATGATTTTTTAGTTGTTGAAATTCTTAAAAAACATATAAAAAAACATATAAAAAACCGACACTAAACTTCACAGACACGTTAAAAAAATTGAAAAAATTTTTTTGTCATGGTACGGGTGTAAGAACCCGACCATTGATTGATGTGAGGAGGTAGACAGAATAGAACTAATGAAATCAAATGTCGGTCCTTTTAAACGATTTTTCAAAAGTGACAGTTGACAAATGTCATATATAGGAAATAGAGATTGTTTTTTTAAATTCTTACAAAATTATTTAATAGTTTGGAATTACTAATAGTCATCAAAGACTTTCTAAAATTTAAGTTTTTAAATTAAATTGTATGTGCTCATCACATCATACAAAATTAGTTTGTAAATTCACTCAAGTCATTGCTCAAGGTCAATGTATGTTCAATCTGACAGCCATCCTTAAGAAACAAGGGCTTAAATTGTTCAACAATAATATAAAGAAGAAACATGGTATTAATGTTACATTATCTGATACTTATGTGTATTGAGAATTGTATCTCTTGATGGAAATTTGTAAGAAATTTGAATAAAAAATTTTTTAAGAATATATTTTCATGTTTCAATTAAGAATAACTGTCAAATGAATTACAAAATGTTGTAAATTTCTAATAAAGTTTAAAATTTTGTTTAAAAATATAAAATTATAAAAAAATATAATAAAATTGCATGAGGTCACCCTTCTTCCTCTAAAGTCTCCCATAATAATTTAAAAAGAGGTTTATAATTGCAATTGAGGTTGATTTGTGTGTTTAAGCAACAATCAGGGTTTAGTTTCATTTTTTGGATATCTCAAGATCTTTCAAGAGATTCATGAGTCTAAAGTTTTTATTGGGAATGTTGTGTAAAATTTTACTGTTTTCAGAAGGAGAAAAGGACTGATTATTAAATTTAATGTGATATCCAAAGTTTGATAAAGTTTAAAATTTTGTTTAAAAATATAAAATTATGAAAAAATATAATAAGATTGCATGAGGTCACACTTCTTCCTCTAAAGTCTCCCATAATAATTTAAAAAGAGGTTTATAATTGCAATTGAGGTTGATTTGTGTGTTTAAGCAACAATCAGGGTTTAGTTTCATTTCTTTGGATATCTCAAGATCTTTCAAGAGATTCATGAGTCTAAAGTTTTTATTGGGAATGTTGTGTAAAATTTTACTGTTTTCAGAAGGAGAAAGGAATGATTATTAAATTTAATGTGATATCCAAAGTTTGATTTTTCTGGATTATTCAGGTGTTCTTTGATTCTTTGATTCAGAGTTCTCATTGTTCTACATACATAAGTCATATTACAGTCACCACAGGACAGCTTGTAAATACCACTTCTGTTTAGTTTGTCAACTTTGTCTTTGGTCTTGCTGAAGATGGACTGGATGTTATATTTTGTTTTAAAGGAGATGTTTAAGTCACTGATTTTATTAACAAGTACTCTTGAAATTTTTTCTGAAATTGGTCCTAAGTAAGATAAGGATCTATATATGGAAGTAGTGTTGGTTTTTTTATCAACATTAAAAGCTTGGTTTAGTCTCTTTTTGAGTATAGATTTTCTAATTACTTTATCAACAGTAGTAGAGGGAAAACCATTGTTGTTTGCTATCTGTTTAATGATAACGAAAAATCAAACTTTGGATATCACATTAAATTTAATAATCATTCCTTTTCTCCTTCTGAAAACAGTAAAATTTTATACCACATTCCCAATAAAAACTTTAGACTCATGAATCTCTTGGAAGATCTTGAGATATCCAAAGAAATGAAACTAAACCCTAATTGTTGCTTAAACACACAAATCAACCTCAATTGCAATTATAAACCTCTTTTTAAATTATTATGGGAGACTTTAGAGGAAGAAGGGTGACCTCATGCAATTTTATTATATTTTTTTATAATTTTATATTTTTAAACAAAATTTTAAACTTTATTAAAAATTTACATTATTTTGTAATTCATTTGACAGTTATTCTTAATTGAAACATGAAAATATATTCTTAAAAAATTTTTTGATGCAAATTTCTTACAAATTTCCATCAAGAGATACAATTCTCAATACACATGAGTATCAGATAATGTAACATTAATACCATGTTTCTTCTTTATATTATTGTTGAACAATTTGAGCCCTTGTTTCTTAAGGATGGCTGTCAGATTGAACATACATTGACCTTGAGCAATGACTTGAGTGAATTTACAAACTAATGTCATTCTGTATGATGTAATGAACACAATAAATTTTATTTAAAAACTTAAATTTTAGAAAGTTTTTGATGACTATTAGTAATTCCAAACTATTAAATAATTTTGTAAGAATTTAAAAAACAATCTCTATTTTCTATATATGACATTTGTCAACTGTCACTTTTGAAAAATCGTTTAAAAGGACCGACATTTGATTTCATTAGTTCTATTCTGTCTACCTCCTCACATCAATGAATGGTCGGGTTCTTACACCCGTACCATGACAAAAAATTTTTTCAATTTTTTTAACGTGTCTGTGAAGTTTAGTGTCGGTTTTTTATATGTTTTTTAAGAATTTCAACAACTAAAAAATCATAATTTCGACATATAAGGAAATGAGATCTCTCCATTGTAGTGGTATTTATAAATTGGCGTAAGTTAAAAATTATAATCTTCACCAATTAGTACTTATAAGAACATTCTATTGTAGCATAGCCCTGATGATGGCTTTGTAAAGCCGAAAGCGCTCAGCTAGGAATTGCTCAAAATATACACACTTCAAAAATACTTTCTACATTTTCTTTTGACTTGTCATAAGTGTGTACAAAAAATATCATTTTTTTGAAAATTAAAATTGTTCTAGAAAAACTTTACAGTAAGAACAAAAGGGTATAATTTGTTTGGATTCCATCTCATGTAGGCATAATAGGTAATGAAAAAGCTGATCGGGAAGCTAATGAAGTCTGCTATACTAATAGATCAGATAAAGAGCTCCTAGAAATTCCATATTCTGATATTCAAAACACCATCAAAGAGTTTTCCATGAGAATGTGGCTCGAAAGATGGAAAAAACTTGACGACAATAAACTACAATGCGTCAACCCAAATTTATCACCAAAAGGGATAATGCCACAAAAACGATCAATTCATACAAAACAGCTTGAGAATAGGACATACCAGGTTAACCCACCAGTACCTAATGAAGAAAAAAGAACAAAAAGTGTGCTATGTTTTTGATGTTCCTCTGACAATCGAACACATTATTGTTAGTTACCCACTCTATCTCCTGGAACGACTTCAAAGTGATTTACCAAGTGATCTTAAGAGTGCTCTGAACTATAGTAAATATGATAAAGTGTCTAAGTTGTCAAAACTAACTAAATTGTATAGTCTAATATAAAAATAGACAAGTTCTCAATTGTAATTAGTTGTTATAAGCAAACATCTGATTTTATCTACAACTCTTCCTTGCCAATAACCTTTCATGGTTGACGCGGTTTACTTAGTAAAAAGAAATGCATATTCTGTTATTTGAGATT